TAGCTTTAGGGTACATGTTGCATTTCAAATTTCACTCCCCCAACAACCACGGATCCAATCTAATGTCTTAACTTTCATCTTCCATGCCATTTCATCCAAAAGCTTCAAGACAAAACAGAACATGAACAGAGAGAAAGAAGGGCTTGGCTTTGGTAGATTCTTCTTCTTTTCTCACCTCACCATAAAATGGTTTTCTTTGATAAAAACATCAAAGTCCGAATTGTGTTCACAGTGTTCAAGCTTTGTGTTGTCCACAAATTAAAAAAAGAGAATGTTCAAAGCTAAATATAATGGGAAGTTCCGTCCACTTTGCAGCTCAGCGGCCTTTGTCCATTCCAACTTATAGTCGTACAGAATCAAATAACCGGAATGAATGAATTAAAATAATCATCTTAAGTCCTAGCTATGTCCTATATTATGAGCATATGCATTTTAGGTCTCATTAAAAGTGTACTCTTCATCTTCCAATGAGTGGAGATAGACAGATTGATCCAACAGTCGTTCATCCATCCATTGCTCTTCTGCAAGAAAGGTACAGACGGTTGGAGAGAGCCAAGGACATGAGGCTGGAGAAAGAGTTCTTACGGATGTTGCCTGAATCAAGGCAGATCAATGCAGCTATAACTTATGTGCCATCTAGATCGCTTTTCCACCCTGAACTCATGCTTTCACAGCTGTCTCTTTAGTGTACAGTCAAAAGAGAAGCCAGTATGCAGAGCAGGAATACCAAGGTTCAGGCCATTCAGACTCAGACTCCACTATTGGAGAATTTATGGTCCAGAGACACTGTCACATGCACAACTTACCATGATGATATTTCAGATGTTGATACTTCGTCTGTGAAAAAGTATTGCAATGTTAGTCTACCTAGTAATCCTGCGGTTTCCTTCCGTTTCTTCTTCATGGGGCAGTAAGAATATGGGAAGGAAAAGAAGGTGCTAAAGAAAAAGAAAACAGAATATGCAATGTCGCTAATGGCCATTATCTTATGTATCTTCAGAACTACATAGTAATCAGAAAGGCAATTCTCTTATCTCTTCTGAAATGCATTCTCATCATAGGTAAATGTTATCAAATTTGTCACCGTTCCCTTTCCTCTTCATGATTTTGGGAATCAATCGAGTTACATCTTTGGCCTCTGACATTGCTTCCCCATTTGTTTATCTGCTCAAAACGAACAGCACTAAGCTTTTGGGCATTTGCAGCTAAAATCTTCACCAGGAACAACATTTCACTTACATTAATCAGTAATTCAATTGTGTGCTCAAGATTTAAAATTATTAGCCGATACAGTTATCACATGGATAGTTTATTTTCCAGAAAAAATGTTTAAACTTTTGAATGTTACACAAGAATAGAGCATGTGAATTATTATTATCAGTTGCTAAGTTTCATTTAGCAAACTAAGCCACCAAATGAAGCATCTCGTAGGATGAACAATATAAAAGCAAATTCCTATATGAACAAATGCATGCCCCCATAATAACATTGATTTCAGAAAGTTACATGTGGAAGAGAGTCAAGAGACTGCATGATATTGCTAGCTACGTTGGTGAACAAACAACAATGAATTAGAAATATGAAATTTACAATGTGAGACTAACTGTGCCTTTACTTCAAAATGAATTGAAACCCACATTGCAATTTTAACCATTTACTTTATCCTCCCTCCTTTTTCCTTTTCATTTGTTTTTTAATTTTTCAAGCAGTGGTGACTTAACCATAAAGCATAATAATCCCACAACAGTCACAATAAACAGAATTTCACTCGCAACTGGGATCAGAAATATCAAGTTTATAAGCCTGGTTATTTTTAAGATTCCTACATTCAACTACTATGTGACGGAGAATGAAATTTTAATGAGCCTGTGGAAATAGCAGGAGAAGTGTAAAATACAAGAAATAATCAAAGGTAGAAATGATCCTAATAACTAAGTGCTTAGCTTTAATGTTTAAATTCTCCATTCAGTGCTCTATACACCATAACAACGAAAACCAGTAATGGTATAGAATAATATACCTCTGGCATTTCGATATTCAAGTCCTCAGCCAATAAATAGATGTATGGGCATGAACATCATATACTCCCTCTGCTCTCATTACAATATAGTCAGTTTTCTTGTGGACCTCCTCCTAGCAGCAAATGCATAAAATAAGAATCACTTGAGAATCATTATACATATGTATAAATGAATCACTAAAGAATCAAGTAGAAATGAACCTTGTAACACTAATTGATATGAGACCTATAGAGTCAAGAAATATCTACATGACATGAGAAGTGACATGAAATTGCTTGGTCACATGGAAAATACAGAAAAAGTACATGCCAAACTAAATGAGACCAGAAACTGGTGACATAAAGCCGCATCTGGATCAATTGGTCTGTAGAAAATTAGCAGCACATGTATAACACCAATTTGTTTTGGACTTCATCAACAAGTCTTCTTAGCATCCCCTTGCTGAGGAATAATAGAATCCAATATCTAAAGTTATCTATATAGTTAAAAGACTTGCCCCCAATAACAGATTCAGTAACAGAACATTAAGGTCATTAATGAGGTA